TGATAAGCTTAGAAGTGACCTATTTGGTACAGAAGAAGGCTGCGGGAATCATTAATTTAGACAGAGCGTAGTATATACTCATTCCCCAATGTTACTGATAAGGGTCTAGGACAGAACACATAATATGAAGGGGTCAAGTGAAAGGCAGAAATTTTCATTTTAAGTTTTAAAAAATAATAGATAATATATAATAGATATCATTTGTATAGCGCAAATCCCCGCTCAACAACAGGCTCTGTGCGCTTCACAGTCTATACTATTACCCCAGCAGACCTGAGAGCATTCTGAAACAACCTCAAATTCCTGGGAAGCATACAGTGCAAGCGGCCATTTATAGGCGCTAAAACACTAACATACTGACAAGATCTATCGCTGTCTATGGCCGGGTACCCATTTCCACCTGGGTGAAGTGAGGAAAATTCGTGTAAAGTGCCTTTCCCAAGGACACAACGTCAGTCCCACGGCTCGAACCCCCAACCCCGCTACCTCACGATTACGAGTCCGGTAGCCTGACCAGTAGGCCACCGACGCCGCAGGAATCAGGATTCTAGCCATTAATTAACAACAGTACCTGTAGAATACCTCAAGACATCGTGGTGAAATCAGACGCAGGTCAAAATAATGAAATAAAATGAAACTTCATTTTTCTTCCTATTTGGCAATTTTTTTAAATCGAATTTTTATTTTATAGCTCATCATGTATCACCTTTTATTTGCACTTAAAACTCATTGCTGTCTGGCTTTTAAGTGAAAACGTTGAACAAAGAAACAAAAAATTATATTTACAGTTTCCAAGGACTCTCAATCTTTAGAAGTCACCAAACTTTGGCGGCCATTTTCTCTCTAATGCTACCTCTGAAACCAGGTGACACCCATTTCCTTCAAACGCAAATATCTTGACTTCTATTGAAGATAGATGGTTAATTTTTTCATCGAAAGTTAGACAATTAACAAGCTTTAAGATAATACTTTATAACTCCCTATGCTCCAAAACTGACGAGCGCCTGATTCCAGCGCGCTGTGACACATTTTAGTAAAAGAAAATTAAGTTAAGAACTTAAGTTCATAATCTTTTTAATGTGAAAAACAGGCAAAAGATGTTGAAGGATGATAACTAATATGCTTGCAACTTTGCCCTTTTTAAATTGATCCCTTCATTTGATCCCTTTACGTGTGTGGTTGGCGGGTGCTCTACTGGTATGGTTTGCTCTTTCTTTCCTATCAAACATCAAACGTCTTTATCTCTAATATCTCCATTTCCTTTTTGTGTTTGTTACTCTTTTGTAACACATCTAATCCTTGGCACTGGTATGACATATAACTGTGGTGCTGTAAAACGCCTGCTAAAGCAAAACAAGATCCCTTTACATGAAGTAAAAAGAAAGCACAAGCTCTATTCCAGAACGATAATGAAGACCCATACCATCGACGTTGTGCCCCTATTAATGAGACAACCATAAAACCTGCATGACAATATCTCCTAAAACAAAAATTGCATAATCTAATTATTAGATCCTGTCATTTTTGTTTCTGGGGGTATTATTTTTATACTTTCACTTTCACCATTCTCTCATAGTGCATCATTAGGGTCTATTCATTTTTAATGAACAGCAACTGCCATAATGAAGATGCTCTCATGTTGTCGGTGAATAGAGCTATCTACAAAGCTCAAGCCTTAATGGCACTTCTGGGCATGAAAGGAGAGCAGTATCGAGCTATTTCTATACTACGTTCCCTGGGTCTAATGCTTGTATAGGGCAGTAATGGGCGTTAGGCATTCTCCAGTCTGGATAACAAGATAGCCTTAATATCTGAACCAATGCAGTGTTATTTGAAATCGATAGATAGACGATTGGGTTTCGTTTAGAGTCCGAACTTGGATGTGCTTTCAGACTCTCCGACATGTTTCGTTTTTAACCTTCGGAAGTGAATATCACCGTTTTCTAGACACGCCACCTATTTGTCGGTCAGTCTGTCTATAGCTCTGTTTGTCTGTCCGTTTACCTCTTAGCCTATTCATTTATCTATTTGGTAGCCTATCAGTCAATCAGTCGGTCTATTTGTTTGTCTTTTCGATTGTTTATGCCAAAGGAAGTATCCATTCAGTCTTTCGGGTTTTTCTTTTCAGTTGTTTTTCTGTTACATTTTATGGGTCTGCATATAAGTCCAATCACAGAAATTATAAGCTGTTCTATAATATATTCCATTTAGAAATTGGCCCAATTTTCAGTACCAGCCTCTATGGAGAGCAGTTACGCGCATGGTTGTTGCCTGCAGGAGACCCTAGTTCAATTCCCGAGTGGAGCGAAATTTTTGTCGAGCATCTCGGTCTTTAATTCTGTTGGGATTTTGTATTCCTTTAAACCCGAGTGGGCCCTGACAAGCATGGTCGGAGGCTCTCCTCCAAATTGATCTAAATTGTGTCTATGGGGAGTTAAAATGCCAACGCTAAAGATGTGTTACAAGTTTACTACTTTTTGGTGTATCAAATGTCAATAATGTTAAAAAGAGTAGTGTTTGTTGCGATTATCTCTCTTGCGTTGTCTCGATTGGGAATGTCGAACCGATTAGATCCTCAAATGACAATCACATTAGATTTAAAAAGGAAAAAAATAAATGTCAGCACCAAACAGGCGTCAGTAGTCCCGTGGAAACGTTAACGGTCTCGTAAGCGTGAGGTTGCGGTGTTTTCGGGAAAGCCACTTTACACGAATTTTCCCACTTGACTCGGTCCTATGGGAGATGGACATTATTTATTTAGGAGGTCCCTCCCGCCTCTTGAATAACCTTATAGCGTCTAAAGGAGCGTTAAACATTATATAACATGCATGCAATATTTCGTTCTCCTTTTCTCTGTTTTAAAGCAGGGGGGAAAGAGGGGGGGGGGGTGTAGGGGGAGAGAAAT